GTCTTCTCGTGAAGTCCGATTAACTCTTGTAACCAAAGCGGGTCACTTGTAGCATTTCATATTTCACAAGAGTTCACAGGTCTTGCCAAAATGAGACCTGTTAGTGAACAAAAGCACTAGAAAAGTGCAAAAATACCCCTCCCAAGCCAAACAGAGCCCAAATAACAAAGAAGTCACGGTACAATTCATCAACAGCTTGTCTAATATTCTTCACCATCCATATTATCATCGGATCCAAGATCTCCATACCCTTCACCATTGTCAAAGTAATTTGCGCAGTAATCATTATCTTCTTCACCAAAATCGTCATCTGATGCCACAGCACTACCCGGATGCTCCTGAGATCCCTCTGAGCCGTCTTCCTCATCCTAAACTATCTTTACGTAGGAAAGGACGGCCGGGACTGCAGATGAACACGAGAGAAATTTTAGAACGGCTATGAATACCGTACTCCGCGCGTTGGTTTAGTTCCCCGCTGGAGGTACTTTTAATTGTCAAGTAGTACCGCCTCCGACACCGCTCGCGTGATCTACTTTTCACCAGATCGACTTCACCACTTGGAACCCTTACCCTCCCTCGCCTTATGGTGCGCACAGCGCGCATCCCAAGCCTACGGAGGGGAAGGGTACCTAAAACGGCCTGAGTGACGGTAGCAGCTGTTCACGGACGGCGAAAATCCCCTGATCAAAAGGACAAGCGAGCGATATGGTACATTCATAAGAAAAATTTATAAAAACAGAAAACACACCTCCACTTCCTCCACGTTGTCCCTCCCCCTGCTGCATAAGAAAAATTTATAAGAAACAGAAAACACACCTCCACTTCCTCCACGTTGTCCTCCCCTTGTTCAGCTTGCTCCAGTCGTAAAAGTTTCTGCTGTACAGCCTCTGCGCTATCGTCAATCACTTTACGCTTTTTGGCAGCGGAGGCTTCAACACGCTCGTGACGCCAACAAAGCTCTTCGGGTAGTCGTAAGAAGTCTGTAAGGCGAACGAGACATCAATGGTATGAAAACTAGTCAATTCTATACACTTGATGGCGAAATCGTGAAGTTGAAGTAGTACGGCGCAGTTTGTCGACGGGGGGGGGGGCATTCTGCTTTCCATAGATGTGCCGACCCATCTAGGTAGCCTTTTCTCGAGTTGACACGTTTCAGGATGGTGGCTAGACGATCTTACTCCAGCTTCACAAGCGTTCACAAGTATTACCAGAGTGAGATTTGTAAACCGGAACTAGGGAAGCAATGGTAGTACAAAATGCCCCCCCCCGTCGACAAACAGCGCCAAGAAGTACTGCCAGGTATATCTGGTTCATTAAAGCAGCGTTCAGACTTTGCGATTATCGACGATTCTCACTCTCGGCCGCAGCAATCAATAGTGCACCTATACTAATAATTGATAAACCGCTCTAGTTTCCCGTTTAATTAGCCTTTTTTCTGACAGGTTTTTCGTTTTTTTTCTATATCCTTATCTTTTTGACAAGACGAAGAAGAGGATTTGAAAAGAAGACACTGAAACTAACCTGGCTCTAGTCTTTTCTCGATGTATTTCATTGTATTTATCTGTATACCGTCTGATATCCCTGACTTGAACGTTATCCAAGTAAAACGGAGATTCTTGGAACCTGATGGAGGTAAGTATCGATGAGTTGAGAGCCCTACAGCCTTAGTAATACGGTGGTTACCTGTTAATCAACTCGAGCTTCAATTCAGATATGTATTGTAACTCATTGGTGAGATCCAAAGGAATAAGTGCTCTTTGTACAGTCTGAAAATAATGTTTGAAGATGCGAACCACGGCGTAGCGGGAAGAGGGGGGGGGGCTGGACTTGGGGTGGCGCCAACCGATTATCCTCCAATTGTTAAATAGAACAAGCGACAATAATTGGTGGAAAGCGGGTTGGCGCCGCGCCAAACTCAATCTCTCCAGACATATCCCCGCATCCGCAGCTATATCGTGCTCTTTTATAAAACCATAAGTGATCAAACTAGCAATAAGGTTGTAATCTCCAGTATTCAAGACACCTGCGAACCACTCGGTCTTTGAAATCGCTCGAATTCCTGTTCTACCTCTTACAGCACGCTTCACAATTCCGCCTCGAATTCACTCCATATGACCTTCCAACGGAGATGCTATTGATAACTAATTTGGTATTTGCTGCGGGTGATTAACGGATGATCCCTTTTAACGGTCGCCATTTTTAGTTGACGACTCTCGGTGAGGTCTGAACGAACTTGATAGAAACCATGTGCACACATAGGTCAATGTTGTGGGAGCAGAGCAATCAGCAGGGAAATGGGGCCATTTCCGCCCACTCGTCAACTTAATGTCCACCCGGTAGTCTCCCCTCCCCTAGCCTTAGGCTTGGGAGCACTCACGAAAGTGCTTGGCCTCGTCCCAACCACTGCAGCCCCAAACTCGTAACCCCATGACGAATCTGGGAATTAGTCAGAAAATAAGAGTCAAAGGCAGAAGCAAAACAGCTGCAAAAAATGATTCAGTAGACTCTTGGGGAAATGGAATCATGCGAAATGTTGGAAGGAAAATGAATAATTCAAAACTATTGCAAGAATTCATCGATAAACAAAATATGTGGAGTATGACGTGCTCCGAAAAGAATAATCACGGCAAATCTATCGTTTTCAACTGCTCAATGCTGCGCAGCAGTTGCTAAACCACCGTTTTATTTGCTGCGGATGATGGGGCGTGTCAAGAGGCTGGGTCTGGCGCTCACCAGCCCGTTCTCCACCAGTGTTGAAGTGGTCGCGTTTTTTTCAAAGTGGAGAAAGAGAACCAAACGAGCTGGAGCGCGCAATCCATCACCTTGACACGCCTCGTCACTCGCAGCGAAGGAGCCTGTTCAGTTGAAATGGTTGTGTGACCAAAACCTAGACTACTTCAACTACTCGATGACTACTCTAAACTGAGTAACACTGACAACCCACGGGATAATCTGGAGGATCCTCTATTGTCCTTTGATTCGTATATGTAGCCATATCCTGCCTGGCTATACCCAAAGCATGAGCGACAGCTCGTACCGTGGTCCCTGGCCGAAGCGCACCCAATTGCCACGCCACCCCTCTCCATCCTGAACTCAGTAATGTTGAACTTCGTTAGTAGACAACCGAAGAATAATGCCGATGAGACAAGCAGCAACAGTGATCATTTACCTTACTTACATACTGGCCCTGTTACTCTTCCTTACTTTTTAACTGACTGAAAGAAGAGAAAGGTGAACAGCTTAGACGCAATCATCAATCACCTGGGGAAAGGCGGGAGGGAGGGTGGGGGAGGCAGCGGTCGTATTGTTCTCGAAAGAAAGTTCTTATTGCGACTGAATGATTTACAGAGCCTTCCTTTCTGTCTCCTGTCTGTCCTGTTTGTCTCGGCTCATCTTCCCCTCTCTTATCCAAACCGGCGGATTCTAAGACAAATTTCTAACTTAAGTTATGAAATGGTGAGCGCGGTCGTGGAGAGGGTTGTCGTTACCAAAGGAGAGAATTCTTGATCGTTTTCACCAAACTTTCCAGAACGCTATGATGTCCCTTGAGCCCCCGGGGAAAGGAAGCACCAATGACGTCGTTTCTTGACCCCGCCTATCCGGGCATTCTGAGCAGTGTCTTTCAAGAAGCTTTTCTGATAAAAAGGCAAAGAGAACAAATAAGCTGTGCATTACATATGGTTCGAAATCAAAAGACCAATCATCTGTACATTTATTCGAAAGGTATTTAATTAACGATTTACAAAATAGAGCCATATAACAAACATCTAAACAACAACTAGCAACGTCTGACTGAACAGTTCATGGCCACCGATGGTTTACCCATGAACGGGAAATTCCTAACATGTACAAGATGGATCAACATTAGCTGAACAATTTAGTGAGATGCAAGTGTGAATTATTCGGCAGCCCCTGCAGGTGCTTTTTCCTTGTTCCAATCTTTCAAACCCTTCGGTAATTCCGTATCTTCATCCAAACCTTAAACAAGAAAATGAAGCCAGATTAAGGAAATGATCCTCCCACTAGCAGCGTTCATACTTTGCGTCAGCGTTTCGGGCGTACGATAGCGTTTTGAGAGACTGGGGAAGTACGGATATCGAGCTGGCGTCTTGAGCGTACGCCAGCGTGATCGCATTTCGCAAGTAATTTTGTATTTTCCGCGGGCAGTCGCTGAAAACACTGGCGTGCGCTCAAACGCTAGATCGATACCTATACTTTCTCAGCCACTCAACGCTCAACACGCTGACGCAAAGTATGAACACTG